CCCTACATCTGTATTTCCATGTGTCGTTGGGAGGCCATTGCTGCGGTATGAGGAATCACTCATGGAGCAGCAAATGAAGGTCGTGTATACACAAACAAAGGCGTTTCATTATCGAAGCCTTTGAAAATTCACTGTCTTTACGTTCATATCTTCAAGAAAGATTGACCCTTTTGATCTCTTTGACTAAAAATCTGTGTTGCACTTGAATCGTTGGCCAAATCGTTTATGATACGATTTTCATATTCTTTTGTTGTTTTTCTTGTAGGATATCGTGGTGGGAGAGGCCTGCGCTGAATTCCGGCATCAGCTGGATATATCTTATCCTGTCCACAATGGTATTGTGCAGAATTGGGATGATATGGGTCACATCTGGGATCATGCTTTTAACAACGAGTTGAAAGTAAATCTCCATTCTTCTTCTCCTTGCAACTCGATTTCTATTGATTTGATGTTTCCATGTTTGCCTCAACTTACTCTTCAACCCTCTGTTAAATTACAGATCAATCCATCAGATTGTAAGATTCTGCTCACAGATCCGCCTCTGAATCCGTCAAAGAATCGTGAAAAAATGGTACGATGTTATCGAGTCTTTGTTGTGAATCACTTATGCTTAGTGTTTCAGAGCTCATTAGGTATATGGTTTGCCATTCATCAGTTGCTGACTATTTCGTCATATTTAGACTAAGGTCTAATTTTCATCATCCATGAGGACTGCCGGTGTGTTGATTGCAATAGTTATGCTCTGACTGTCAAAACTCGTAATTTATGATCTGATGCTTTCCCCATGTAACAGGTTGAAACGATGTTTGAGAAATACAATTTTGCTGGTGTTTTCATTCAAATTCAAGCCGTTCTGACTCTGTATGCTCAAGGTGCTTAGGAGATTGTTGAAGGTTTAGATTTTCTTACGTAATTCCGTATATTATTTGTGAAAACTATGCCGCATTCTTTGATTTTGTTCCTTGTGTGTTGAACACTTTGCTTACAGGTTTGCTCACTGGTTTGGTAATTGACTCTGGTGATGGTGTTACTCATGTGGTATGTTCTAGAAACCCCATGGAGATCTACACTATTTTCTTATGACAAAGCAATTTAGGATACTCTATGCAAAGATCAGATTGGAACCACCATGTTTTGGCTGGAAATTTGAAACATCTCAGTTGTGGTTTGATGAAAAATCCACCAAAAATATATACCAGAACCCTCTCAAATTGTGCTTGCTGTAAGGATTGGAGTCGACACTGTCTGAACATTTCTGGAAAATATGGCCGTAAGACCGTAGATATAGGCTTTTAGGGTGGATAGCACTGAATGCAGTAGGAGTATCTATGTCGGGAATGGATGGCATTTGGCATTTCCGTATTGCTTTGGGTTCTCTCGTCTGCAATTTCCAGGCAAGCTTTGCCAGACGAGCACTAACAAGTTTCTGTCTGCATCCTAGGTTCCAGTGGTTGATGGCTATTCATTTCCTCATCTTACCAAAAGAATGAATATAGCTGGCCGGCACATAACATCGTATCTTGTTGATCTCCTCTCACGACGAGGGTGAGAAATTAAAATTCTTTTTCTTTTTCAAAAGATGAAGCTTTATTACCATCTGATGTTACTTGCCATTCTTCATTAGCTTAATATAAACCCGTTGTGTTTTGCAGATATGCAATGAATAAGACAGCTGACTTTGAGACGGTTAGGGAAATTAAAGAGAAGCTATGCTATATAAGGCAAGCTAGGACTTCAAAGTTTTATTTTTTACTTTAATCCATGAGGTTAACTGCATTACAAGAGTTGTAAATAGTATCTCTTGTTGTTGTCTTCCTTGCAGTTATGATTACAAGAGAGAATATCAGCTGGGGCTTGAGACTACCATCCTCGTTAAGAATTACACAGTAAGTTCCCTTTTTTACAGCTCTTTTGCTATATTTTCTTTGGAGGTCTTTATTTTTGGTTTTGAATCTCTGCGATATATCACAAAAAGCTTAATGCAGCAACCGATGGAAAGAAAATTCCAAAATTAAAATCAGAGCAATTAAAGGCAAAAAACTGAAACTTGTTGACAAAATTCCCCCTCTTTTGTTGTTCTGCTTCATTGCCTTTGTCGTTTAATTGTTGATAAAGTATCACACTTTACCTCTGGTTTGACAATCTGCTTGTTTTTGCACCATCGACAGCTTCCAGATGGGAGGGTTATCAAAGTGGGCACAGAGAGATTCCAGGCACCTGAAGCACTTTTTACCCCAGTAACGTCATGCAGTTCTTTGCTCGCGATCTTTATGAATTATTCCAATTCCTCCGTGAATCTCTTAAGAACGTTGTGGCTGATCAGTTAACCGAGTGATATATGATGAGTGTCTGAGCTGACGTTATGTATGTAAACGTTTTCCTCATTTTCAGGAACTCATCGACGTTGAAGGAGATGGAATGGCTGATATGGTTTTCCGCTGCATTCAAGAAATGGATATTGACAACCGCATGATGGTCTGTGTCCTGCACTTAGCCCAAACTTGGAAGATTTACACGGAAAAAAAATAGTTTTAATATGTTTTAACTCTGTTTTTCCTTTCCTGGAAAGTGCAGTTTTTTCCAAGTAAATCATGTTTGCTCGGATATTTTTTCAGTAATATATCTGATGGGTTTGGTTTAATATTTTACAGCTCTACCAACACATAGTTCTAAGCGGAGGAAGCACCATGTATCCCGGATTACCTAGCCGGTTCGTATCTTTCACACCCAACGAGAAGAGCTCAATGCTCTGTTGTTCGTCTCACTGGATCGATAATTATTCTGTATTGAGCTCTTCATGTTTGCCATCTTTCAGACAACCCGAGAGATTGATGTTGAGAGTTTTGTTTGGTTTTCTGTGTTTCGCTTTCAGCCTCGAGAAAGAAATCCAGGATCGGTATCTTGATGTGGTTCTAAAGGGAAACAAAGATGGCTTGAAGGTAATTTAACCATACAAAAATCCTCCACAGAAGGACATTACCTCGGGTCTTTGTCTTGGTTAAGGGTGTGATATAGGTTTTTGTTCTTTGCTTCTCGTTTTCTACCCGCAGAAACTCAGGTTGAGAATTGAGGATCCACCCCGAAGGAAACACATGGTGTACCTCGGAGGTGCTGTTCTTGCAGGAATCATGAAGGTACATTCAAATTCACGTTCCCGCTCGCTTTTCGCTCCCAAACCAAATTTTGTAACTCAAAGTCATGGAAATGAAACCCGATTGGATCTGTGAAACGTTTCACAGGACGCACCCGAATTCTGGATCAACAGAGAGGATTACATGGAAGAAGGAATTGCTTGCTTAAGCAAACTGGGTCAAGCTTGAAACTTGCTGTTCATCATTCTCTTTCCACTAAAATCGAAATTTTACATGAAAGCTGAGATTTTTCAAATAATAGGACAAATGCTGAAGAATCTATGCTGTCTTACTTCGCCATGTAATGTACAAGGCTTTGGTCTTTTTACCAACAAATAAGTCTTTTTCACTCCTACTCCTTTGTACCCTTTATTGCTTTAGGCTCTTTTGATGCCTCGAGAATTTGGAGAAATCTAAATACCCTTCTTGTAGTTTCTCTTTTCTTGTGATTCATGTTCGTTTCCTGTTGGGTTGGCGAGAAAAGTTTCGTCTTTTTGGCCATTTATACAGAGGAATTGCAGGGGAAGAAGTTCCAATCTTTCTAAAGATGCAAAATGCAGTGGTAGATATCACTCCAAGTATCGAGTGTAGAAACAACTGATTACACAGAGTAGCAGTTTCTTGATGTTTTTATTGCTTGCCACACAAGGCAGGATCTAACTTGAGCGGTCTGAAATTCAAAGCATTAAACCCATAAACGCACAGATTGGACCGTTTCGAGTTGAACACGACCTGATCTGTCGTGGTTTTGAAACCGGGAACCTTGCAAGAATCCGAGGAGCTCCCGATCAAGCTGGCCTGACAAGAAGAAGCTAGGGTTCCTGCATCTGAACACGCCACTCCGTCCAGTGAGGTTATGTCCAATCTGTACAGACCCAGCTCGTTTGTTGTCCTGTTCGCTGTAAACACTATCTGCTCTCTTGTTTTGGATGCTGCCGCTTTGAATCTGCAGTCAATTCTCACTTCCACCCCTGTTTGAACAATTTTCAATGATGAATCTTTCAGTAAATAGTACATCAGATCATGTTCATCAAACAGGTAATGCAGTTCTAGTTATTGGATCTTAAAAGAGTCAGTGGGAACAGACAGATACAGGCTTATGTTTCTATGCTATGTTCATCAAATGTCAGAATGTACAATCTGTACCTATCTGTCTGAATGAACCAGAGATTATAAAAGATGCTTACTGAAACCATCAATGGGGAGATTGTGAGTTTAGGGTTTACCGGACATGAAGTAGCTGTGTCTGGAGAAAGTGTTGTTGGAGCAAACATCGCAGTAAACCAGACCCATCACAGAGATCTCTGCATTGGGTTTCGCCGGAAAGTGCTTACGGGAAAGCGAGTTTATGAAGAGAAGTGACAATGAACACATAAGTATTATCAGTTTCATATCTAACCAGATTCCTTAGTTTCTCTGCAGAAACAGAGCTTCTAAAGAAAAAAATAAACAGAGAGGGAGTTTCAGATGAGATGTGTTTTTTTGTTTGTGTGGTTCAGTGAGATTCCAAGTTGGAGAAAGAGACAAGAATGGACCAAGAGACAAAGGAGAACAAAAGAACAAAGAGATTAGGCGTTTGGTTTGAGACAAAGGAGAGACTCGAACTCCATTGAAGCAGCCACAAGGTTGTTTTATACGCAGAGAAAACTACCAAAGGGGGCTATGGAGAATGACGTGGCAGTTTTGCATTGATTCAGGACACGGAGAGCACATGGGCAAGAAAGGCGTTTGGAGTGATGTAAATGAGAAGAAGACAGAGGAATTGAATTGAAAGGCAGAGAAGATGGTGAAAGGCGAGAGAGAGAGAGAGAGAGAGAGAGAGAGAGATTGGTGGAGATTATTTATGGAGCTCTCATGCTTCCTATTGTTTCTGGGTAATGCGTGTCAGATAGAAAAATGGCTTAATATGGAAAAAAAATATAGTGTTGTGATCTACAGGGACTTGAAAACGGCCAATGTGTTACTTGACCATGGTTTCAAACCGAGCCTCTCTGACTTTGGACTGGCCAAGTTTGGTCCAAGCGGAGACAAGTCTCATGTGTCCACCCGGGTCATGGGCACTCACGGTTACTGTGCACCCGAATATGCAGACAGTGGGAAACTTACGATGAAATCTGATATCTTCAGCTTCGGAGTTGTAATGTTGGAACTCATCACTGGACGCAGACCTGTCGATGATACCTGCACCGGTCCAAAACGGTTTCTTGTGAACTGGGTATGCTTCCGTTCTCGCTTTCTCTTTTTAGTTTTTGACTTCTAGTAGAAGATTGCTGATCAAATTTAGTCTCTGGAAATATATCCAACCTGTGTTTTTTATTCCTCCGACTCCGATTGATTTGAGTAGGGAAGGTGAACCACTTGTGTGTATGTATGGACCATGAAGTGTATACATCACTCAATGAAAAGAGTGATGAAGATAATGGAACAGCCAAGTTTTTTTTTTGTTTGGTTTGGTCCGAATGATGACAAAAAAAAAATCACTTCTTAAAATATAGAAGATGAATTTCTGGTAGATACATTCATTCTATTGGTACTGTTCTAACAGCAATGTTCATCAATGAATGACACTTCACAGTTGCAGATCCAGAAATGAATGAATATACAAATATCATACATATATAATAATGTGATGGATATTGAATTCAAAAGAATTTGATCCAAACACCATCATACACTAGTAATCTAATCCTAGGGAACAACAAATGAAAAAAAAAGGCACCATCTTTCGTGGTGGCCGCCATTGAAATGAAGCTTCTCATGAATGGAGGAGCATGTTAACGAGGGCGAAATGGTAATTCTATGCAGATTGCAAGCTACCAGCTCTGTCTCAAACCACTGTCTTTTTTCTTCTCCTTCACATTATGGAACAAGAGCATAAGCTTTTCCTAGGTACTTCTTCTTCCATCTTCTTCTCTGCCACGAACCAATTTTGATGAAAAGGGCATATATAAGAGAACAGATATAATAAAAAAAAGTTTTTTTCTTGAGGAATAAGGATAGGATCCACAGAGAGAGAGAGAGAGAGCTCGGGTCGAAAGAACTAAACCTGGTTTTGTTTTTGCCGGAGGTGGCTGGACGACAACGTGCATTGTCATGACTGCTTTCGGGAGATCATTAAACGGGGTTTTACATTGCCCGACCGTCCTTCCGTTGTCTAGAATTTTCCCAGAACTGATCAACCTGATTTCACCCGCTGATTTGGGAGCAATCTTCTTGTCTATGAATGTCAACAGATACAGCAAGTAAGAACAAAGAAGGAAGCTTAAGCCACATCTAAACATACTAAGAGTAACAGATAAGGAAATGGGATCTGCAATTGCAATAGGAATCTTCATAACTCTTCCTTTCCCCAAGAGAAAGAATGTGAAATTCTTTTCAGTGGAATCGAAATGGGATCTGTCTTATTGTCGTCTATCAATGGATGGATTGGAACTTGTGCTGTTTTATACAAAACACAACCTTTCTCCCTGTCCTAATCTGGGCATGTCAACTAGTTCAAACAAGACAAGAAGAGTAATGGAGTTTCATAAAGGAAGCATTTTTCTTGTTAGATTAGCCGTTCACTCACCTTTGGGCCAATGGGAAATGATTCGGTCCTTGAGGGTGGCAACAGTGGCAGCCGGAGAGTAATGGAAGGGTCCAATATCTGAACCATCGTATAACCGGAATTTAAGTTCAACCAACTCTTCCTCAGGCATCTGTCCTCTCTTTCTTTCAGAAACCCCCCTCACAAGAACAAAATCTCAAACAACACCTGAGTTCTTGTCAGAAAATCCAAGGAACAGACCTGAATTCAAAGCACAAGGAACAATGAATGAGAACTTTGATCCAAAAAACCAAGAACAGTTGTCCAAAACAAGAGCTTGGATCTGTTTTACAAGGATAAACGAGATATTGAATCAAGCGCGGTAAGATTGTCAAAATCAAAACTTTTAACACATTTCGGTGACAGAAACATCATAGAAGACGAACCCAATACAAAAGGGTTGCCCGAATCAACTACGACAATTTCCTTCTCGGGAGATCTCAACAGAAAACGGACATAACTTTATAAGTAAAAGGAACCCATAAACAGCACAAATGGAATAGAGAGTTCGAGAAACACAAACGGAGGAAGAACAAGAAGCGATTACTAAACCTGAGAGAGAGAAACAAACTCAAAAAGCCGCCATTGACAGCAAAATCTTTCGCCGTAAACTGGTATGAGCTGCTAGGGTTTAATCCCTGAGACGCGGAGGATCTGAGAGAAAGAACCCAGAAGGCAAAGATCAAAATCTCGAATCTTTACTTGTGAATCTCTCGACAACCGATTCATCTTTCATCTTTCATCCCTCATCTTTCTTCCTCACAAATTTCTGACCTTTTTCCTCCTTCGGGGTTAATTTGCCGCGTTACAGAAGAACGCTGTGTCTTGTCAGTAAAATCTATGAAAGAAGGAATGTGATTATGACGACAAGACGTGTTTTTGGATTGTCGGTAAAAGACCTTCTCCGACATTTTTGACCAGAGTTAGTCAAACCTATACGGATAGGGTTCTTTGGACCCATTTCTTCTCTTCGAGGGCATTTCTCATGTAAAGGCGTGATCTTTAAGGCGTAGTTTGGACTAGTAACGGTAATTATTGTTTTCCAGATCTGGTGTAAGAAGAGAAAATCTCTTGGAAGATATGATCACAGAGGTGTATGTGTATATATATATATAAAGTTCATGGCTTTATGGCTAAATACGAATGTAACCAAGTTCTCGATCAATAGTAATTAATAAACTCATGGCTTTATGACAGACATTACACCGAAAAATTCTCCAAGAGGAAAAGACAGAAGTCTTGTGCTTCTTCGTATCGTCGTCAGTCAATGACCTGGTCGGGCTGTTTGACCAGAATTAGTTATCCAGTGCGACGAGGTTTACTGTATGAATAGTCAGTGGACCAATGACAACATCTGCAATACGAATTCTATTTAAAAAATAATGGAAATTAAAAAAAAAAGGTGTGGCTAATGGCAATCACTTTGGTGGTGTTCGGCGTTAGGGTTCTTCTGCGTTCCTGAGCCTCTCTCTGTGCAGAAATTTCCTTTTTGTCTGTATCAGTTTCTTTGGGGCTCTTTTCGTCCTTTTCCTCTTCTGGTGAGATTTCTCCTCTTGGTGTGTATTGAGACAGAAAATTCGATTCTGGTGGCTGTCATTTGTTGTCGTTTTCATTGATTGAGCCCTGCGTTTGGTGCTTGTGTTCTACAAATCCGGCTAGGGTTTGTATCGTTTTGTTGCTCTCTCCTCTCCTTGTGGCAATTTTCTATATAAAGGTACAATCTTTACCCGACTCGGATCTCAGTGCTCTTCCTTTCGATTCTCCATGATTCGTGGAATCGTATGCTGTTTAGGGATGTTAGTCTATTGTTCTGGGTGATGTTCATGTTGCGATTTGGATTTGTATGACAGAGTGCTCTGATGAAGTTAGGGTTTTCCGACATCATTTCCGTAGAAATCCTTCGTGGGTTTGGATTTGAAACGAGTCTACCGTGGAAATAACTCGTGTTTTGTAACTACATAGTTGTCTGGCTTCTGTTTTCAGGTTCTAGATTGTTCAGGTGTTGCTTGAGGGACTGGTAATGGTGTAACATTTCTCCATTCGGTGTGTGAAGAAATGTATTGAAAGATATGATCTTTTTCATATCTAGTACTTGTTCGGTTCAATCTGTTGCACCAGGCCTAGGTCCCAGATTCGGAATTAGAACATAAGATGCCACCCGGGTATTTGTCGAGATTAAGACATGCTGTACAGGATGGTGTCCAGAGACAGGTGACTGGGCAAGGGGGCTTAGTGGATGGTCTTGAGGTTTTAATCGGGCAAGGGAAGTTCGGGTTTGGCAGTTCGAAGTCGTTCCACTCTCGGCTTACTGACCCGAAAGGATTTCTTGGACCTGCAACGGTTTTTGCTGCCAGCTCGGATTTGCTATTAGTTAACCAGAGAAGGAACCTCTCTGTGGTTGGAGCTGTTTCAAGGACTTTCTCTGTTCCATCGGTATCGGGTCCATCATTTCAGGTCTGTGGATATCACGTCGATCTTCTGCTGTCTGAACCTAGTACATCAGTTAGCCACAGCGGCAAGGTTCTAGGCAGAACAATGGCAGCTTCTGGTTCCAAATTCTTTGTTGATCGCCATTTAGACGCTCTGATTTCAAAGCGTTCGCTGTCAGGAAATAACACTTGTTTTGTCTATGGAAGAAGCTTTTCCAGTTCTGGAAAGATAAGTATGAGACATGGAAAACGACGTCAACCCGAGAATTCTGCTACTATCTATGGGTTCTTTGTGTATAGAGCTGCAAAGAAATGGATCGACTTCTATCCACATTCCGGGTGGGGATTTAGAGGCTTCCATAGTTCAATATCGAATTACTTTTCAGCTGGGACTGCACCTGAACCCGATGTTCCATCCGATAATTCTCGTCGTGAGGAACAACTTAGAGATTCTTCTTCTTCTTCTTCTTCCTCCGAGTCTTTAGGAGTAAACCTTACTTCCAAACCCTTGAAGCTTGTTTCGGGATCATGCTATCTACCACATCCCGATAAAGAAGACACCGGAGGAGAGGATGCTCACTTCATTTGTCCAGAAGAGCAAGCAGTGGGTGTGGCCGATGGTGTTGGCGGTTGGGCGGATCTCGGGATTGATGCGGGTCTTTACTCCCGAGAACTGATGTCAAATTCCGTGAGTGCAATCCAGGACGAGCCCAAAGGCTCGGTTGATCCAGCCAGAGTGCTGGAGAAAGCTTACACCAGCACAAAGGCAAAAGGGTCTTCTACAGCTTGCATCTTAGCCCTAACAGATCTTGGACTTCATGCCATCAACTTAGGTGACAGTGGGTTCATGGTGGTCCGAGATGGATGTACGGTTTTCCGTTCTCCCGTCCAGCAGCATGATTTCAACTTCACTTATCAGCTCGAGAGCGGAAATAACGGGGATTTACCCAGCTCCGGCCAGGTCAGTAATCGTGAACTCTTTTCAGTTACTATCTGGATGACATTACAATGATTTAACAAGCCGTAGATTTGGATTCAGGTTTTCACCGTTCAGGTTGCTCCTGGGGACATTATAATCTCGGGAACGGATGGATTATTCGATAACCTTTACAACAACGAGATTACTGCAGTAGTAGTTCAAGCCGTGAGAGGTGGCTTAGGTCCTAAGGTGACGGCACAGAAGATAGCGGCTTTGGCACGGCAAAGAGCAGAGGACAGAGACAGGCAGACGCCATTTTCGAAGGCGGCTCAGGACGCTGGGTTCCGTTACTACGGTGGCAAGCTTGATGACATCACGGTTGTTGTCTCTTACGTCACTGGCTCGGACAAGGAAACACGTTCGTAGTCAGATCGAGCAAACAGATGAAACATTCACTTCACTCTGTGGTTTAGGGTTTTGTCCTTTGCAGAGAGACCTCTGTTTCTGTTCCTTCGTGAAACATTCGTTCTGTTATTGGGTTTGTGGTTTTGCTTTGTAAATAGAAGAAACACGGCAGAAAGTTGGAACTTGATATTATTGTTTTGTATAGATCGTTCATCTCGGTGTTAGTTCGGTCTTTGTTTGTAGTATTGGGCCAACATATGGGCCTATGTATGAAACGAAGTATGGCCCAATCGAGGTCTCTTTTCAGTTCAGGCCCATACTTTCTTGAAACGGCGTCGTAAAGTGCGTTGACTTTTGACCACCGACACGATTACGCGAGCAACAGGTGTCAATGGGGCAAAAACGACGTCGTTCGAAGTGAATAAATTAACAATGACTCGGGAATGAACGCGGCAGCTGATGACGGAGTGACGTCGACGCCCCGATCGAGGAGTGGTGGAGGAAGGGAAGAGATGAAGCGCGGCGGTTCCAGACGGCGGAGATTGTCCGTATGCATGGTTCTGTTTGCGTCGGTTATCTTCACCGGTCTTGGCTTGTTGCTGCTCACGCTCCGATCGGTGGATCCTAATTCGTTCGTCATCGACGACGACGACGGCGACGTCGTTTTGGACTCCGCCTCCGTCGGAGAGAAGGACCAGGAATGGCGCGCCACCGCGAGCTCCGGAGCGAGGCCCTGCGCGACGGTGGAGGAGATGGGAAGCGAGTTCGAGGGAGATTTCGCGGAACAGAGCCTTAGAGTACGACAAATTATTCGACGCCATTTCGATGTAAACGGTGAGACGGTTCTTGCTTTAAATCGTGTATAAATTTTATGTGTATCCTATTATCCTATGGAATTAGGAGTCTCTGTGTTCAGAACATGATCTGAGTGTAAGTGTACTAGTAGATTTAAGTTCATATTTCTGCAAGATGGAATCGATGGTGCGATCAATGTTGAGCTCAGCTAAATTAGTTCGTACTTGAAACGGTTCTTTGAATTCATTTAATCGGGATTAAGTCAGAAAGCTAGAGAACAGAGGAGATGTCACAAACTGTTTATTGATATGTAATAGCGAGCTTATGTTCTTGGGTTTCAGGTGCTTCGGCCATTCGCGAGCTCCCTCCAGATCAGTTTTGCAGACATGGATTTGTTCTTGGGAAAACAGCAGAAGCGGGTTTCGGGAACGAGATGTACAAGATCTTAACTTCTGCGGCATTGAGCATAATGTTGAACCGGTCCTTGATCATTGGCCAGACCAGGCATATTGGTTCTTTCTCAATCCTTTTTCTCTGAATTCGGGGCTATATTAATTCCTTGCAGTACTTTGGCCATTTGAACGTGGAATTATGTGAAGGAAATTACGGGATTTGTTGTAGCATTTACTCGTATTTGTGTTATGCTTTTGCTGAGTTCCTATCTATGTGTTTCTCAGGGAGAAATACCCGTTTGGTGATTACATTGCTTACTCCAATGCTACCTTTACCATGAGTGAATTGAAGCATCTCTGGAGAAAAAAAGGCTGTGCGAAGAAATATGGAAGGCGGCTTGTTATGAGACTGGATGATTTTGAGAAGCCGGCCAAGAGTAACGTCGTATGCAGCAATTGGATGGAGTGGAAGGAACCTATTATATGGTCGGTCCGTTTGATCTTCGTCTGAATTTCTGTTTCGGTTTACTGATTGGTTGGTTGGTGTTTCTCGATATTTCAGGTTTCAAGGTACAACAGACGCTGTGGCAGTTCAGTTTTTCCTGAAGAATGTGCATACAGAGATGAGGATTGCTGCTTCTGAGCTATTCGGAGAACCAGGAAACCTTGGAATGCGAGCTAATATATTCGGGGAGCTGATGATGGCACTCATATCTCCCACAGAAGATGTCCGGGAAGCAGTGAATTGGGTTCTACGAGAAACCGGAGACCCTGATGTCTCATTGCACATGCGAATGCTTAATAACAGGTACAAAAAGTCACAAATATAATAACCCTTTTCGGTATAAACATGCTTTTATATGGATAAATGCCTCTTTTTTTCAACCAGCTGAGTAATTCTTTCTTATCGTGTTTATTCTTCCAGACCTGTGAGAGCTCTACATGCAGCACTGAACTGCTTAAGTAAAACAATTTCCGGACTAGGTGTGTCAAACCCGAGAGTGACCATAGTATCAGACACCCCATCAGTTGTGAAAGCTATGGAACCTAATATAAGTGCTTTTGCCGAGGTACGTCTGATAAATAATCGAAAATATGCTTGGTAATAGGTGTGTACTCATTGCCCATTTCAGCTCCTTATTTGTTGTAAAAGGACCGATTTTGTCATCGGAAGTGCATGAATTATGTTAAGCAGAGGCGATGGATTGTAGAAGTAAAATGTTTAGATGAACCCATCCAACCTGTTCAGTTCCTTGATTCTTGACAGAGAGCCTATCTTACCATCAGAAATATACAAATTATGTTAGGAAAAAGTAGGGTTTATATAACTTCTATAATGAGTAATTGCATGATCATGCCGTGATTACAGGTTTTGCATTTCGACTATAAGCTTTTCCGAGGGGATATCTCCCGAGGCGGAAGCGGGCTACCCATGTTAGATTTCAGAATCAAGGATTGGGGGCCAGCCCCGAGATGGGTTGCCTTTGTCGATTTCTTTCTGGCCTCCCGAGCGAAACACGCGGTAATTTCTGGTGCTCACAGGCGAGTAGGGACTACTTACGCTCAACTGGTCGCCGCACTAGCAGGCGCAAACAGCCTCGGTAAGACTTAATCCCTCGCATTCCTTGTATTATTTTCCTTCATCCATAACATCAAATCCACGATTCTCTGATTCTTAATCGCAGAGGACGGATCGAGGAACTCGAGCTTCGTGTTCGTGAGCAGCTTCCAGAGCAACCTGTTAACGGACGGTCTGAAGAACCAGGTGGGATGGGGACATGTGTGGAACCGATACGCAGGGCCACTGAGCTGTCCGGAGCAATCTCACCAGTGTGCGTTCACGCCACTCGTGCCGGCTGGTTGGTGGGATGGTCTCTGGCAATCTCCGATTCCCCGAGACGTCCATCGGATGGCAGCTTACGGCGTCGAGCTCTCGGGTTTCGGGACAGTCAACGAAGAACGAATCCGAGCATTTTGCAGCGGTAAGAAAGAGTACGTAAATACTATAACCATCATTTAGGGGACTCCACTGTCTCTATGTATGTTCATCCCCTAGTTTCTTCAGCCATATTATAAACTCAAACTCTCATCTCATTGTCTCGAGGACCAATCTTTGTTACAAAAAAAAGGTATGATTTTGTTTAGTGTTGAGTTTTGGATTGCATTGGGCTCCTTAGATAGAGAACCGTTTTATTCGGTATTTGTCGCTTTCGGTTCTGGAACAGTTTATTCGGTTATATAAAAATTATACGAAACTAGATAAGAACTCTGCAAAAAAAAAAAAAAAAAGTTTATTCGGTTATATAAAAAAAGTGGTAATTGATTCGGTTCTATTTGGTTTTAGTGTTGGCTTGGAACGGTTTTGTTACAAGAATACCAAATAAGAACTGGCATTTGATATTCACACATTCATACGTATATATGGATAATTCGGATTTTGATTCGGTATTTATCACTTTCGATCGCTATTTATCAAGATCGATTCGAGAATTGTTTATTCGGTTCTATTAACATTTTATTACAACCGAATATCATTCCACCCGATCCGAATTGATTTCGGGTTCGATCTATATTGGTTTCGATTTAAACCGGTTCGGAACTAGTTTACCGAAACGTCTCTGCATGTGATTTATTTCTTAGGTGTTAAGAAATGTGTCAAAGGGCTAAAAGATGGGAATGGTTTTGTCATGAAATCGAATCAAATCGGATTTTTTATTTTTTATTTTTTATTTGCTAAAATGGGACAGTTGCACGCATATGGAATCGAATCAGATTGTACATATGACTATCATTTATTATAAACATATCTTTTTAATAGGAAGGTACCATAATTTATCATCCTATGCTCACTATAACACGAAAATTCAAATATACATTAAATCTGCAAAAATAATTGTAACCCATTACGCTTTAGAGAAGCTGGAGTCAATAATAATTATAAAACCATAAGTGTGTGATTATATATATATTACACACACAAACGTGGAGCCTCGTTATTGTAAATTATGTGACAAATTAAGCAAATTAACGTATTCGTATCGATCGGATTAAGGAAAAAAATACGAATTATAATTTAAACCGGTCGGGAATATGAAAGTTTTCGTAAAGAGAACAGTTCAAAGTTGAGAGGATAATCTCAGAAAGGATATATAATATATTTATATATTTATTTAAATAAATATAAATCTTAGGAAGGAAGTAATAGATGTAACGTACCGTGTCCGTGCACTCCCGTGTTTTACTGAGGATTACGTGTCTTCCCCGAGAAACCCCTTCACGCGTACGAATCCTTCTTCCCCAAAATCCCTTAATTCTCGATTTCTTCCCCTCTCCCAATTCATTCAAAACCCTCGTTTTCTCTCTCCCATTGCTCTGATCTGAAATGTGCTAAATCTCCCATCTTTTTTTTGTTTTGATTCTCACCCTTCTCCTTCTGATACCGCGAGTGTTCGTGGGTTTGCGGTATTTTCATTCCTCCGAGTGATCCCACCTTCAAAATCTGTTCATGTCGCTCTTCGAATTCTCAGACCCGTGTTTTGATCGAAATGTGCCCGAATTTCGAGTCTTGTGATCGTGTTTGTCTTGTTCCTCGTTCTTCCGAAGCCATAGTGTTGACGTGTTCGTGTTGTTTCTGAGTCGTACCCTAAAAAAATTTCCATTTTCTTTGTTGCTCTCGTCAAATTCAGAACCTTGCTTTTTTTCCCCCCTCTAACATCGTTTCCATCGAAGTGCGTCCAGAATTCTGAATCTGGTGTTAGATCGTTGGTGTAAAACCCTGTTCACGAATTCCTCTGAAAACAAAGTGCGTTAATGTGTTGAAAACGTTGCTTCTGAGTGACCCCACAACTGAGTTTTCGCGTTTCTCTGTCTGGTTTCCTGTGGACACATCGGACTGCGTTTTGTAAGGAAAGAGGTTGTCCATAGGATCGATCGGAGTATATGGGGTGTTGCTCGTGTTTTGGGTCAAGAAAAAGACGACGAAAGATGCAGAATCAGGAGCTCAGAGACGTTGCTGCTGGTCCGAAATGGAGACACGAACCGTCGTCTTCTGGTTCGTCTGTTTCTTAGTTTTTTGTTCTTCATTGGGTCTAGTTTCCTTTGATCAATGTCTATGAATTGACTTCTTCATGCAGATTTTGAACAAAAACTATTGCTCGAATCCGTTCACAGTGATTTTTTTTGGTCTCAGTGATGAGTACTGTATTCATTATGTTGATTTTTTTTTCATGGATCCACCATGCAAACAACGTCTGGATATGATCATATGCAAGCCTCGGGTTTTCAACTTACATGGTTCAAGATGCAAATGCTCTCAATAGAACCAACCAGTTGATGTAATATTTTAGTATTTGATAAAATCTCACTACTTACTTGCTGATGTATCATTTTCAGGATATGGGTAATTCAATTCTCGACCTGCATACATTTTCATTCTGATTCTGTATATCCGCTCTGATGAGTCTTGTGTTTTATATGATAGGTTTCCTCTCTTTTGTACCTTTGCTTGTTTTTTTCCTCAGAATCAGAATCATAATAATGCTTCTTGTGTTCTGTGTTAGTGTTATCACTCTGTAACTCTCATGGACACGAAGCTAATCCCCATTTGTTTCTCAGTAGCCAAACCAGTCAGAAGTATGTCTGAATCTGCGATGCAGCGAGACTTACATGATTCTCCGGACAAGGCTCAAACTTTTACCTACCGAGAACTCGCTACCGCCACGAACAACTTCAGGACAGAATCACTGATTGGACAAGGCGGATTTGGAGCCGTTTTCAAAGGAAATCTGGAAAGAACTGGACAGGTACATCTGGCTGATTACATCTTGAGTTTCTGTTCATTCGTTCCCCGTGATTTTGTATGGTTGTGGATCTTTGGTTTCCAACTTTTATTAGATCAGATGTTTTTTTCATGCGACTGCTATAATAACTTCTCAGTCTTACGGTTCTACTTATCAATTTATGTTAGTGTAACTTTTCTCAGACAGTGATTGTGTCTTCCTTGTTGTCCTTTAAAGGTTGTAGCTGTGAAACAACTTGACAAGACTGGTCTACAAGGAGAGAAGGAGTTTCTAGTCGAGGTTCTCATGCTCTCACTCTTGCGTCATGACAACCTCGTCCACCTGATCGGTTACTGTGCTGAGGGAGATCAACGGCTTCTTGTTTATGAATATATGCCTCTTGGATCCTTGGAAGATCATCTCCATGGTTAAAAGACATTCTTGATGATCTCCAATAACCCAAAGTTCAACAAATTCTGTGGCTTTCTTGTCAAGTGATTCCTCTATCTAAAACTTGGGATCATATTACTATATTGCAGATCTCACACCTGATCAGGAGCCTCTAGACTGGCACACGAGGATGAGGATAGCCGCCGGCACAGCCAAAGGGTTGGAGTATCTTCACAATGAAGCAGACCCACCTGTGATCTACAGGGACTTGAAAACGGCCAATGTGTTACTTGACCATGGTTTCAAACCGAGCCTCTCTGACTTTGGACTGGCCAAGTTTGGTCCAAGCGGAGACAAGTCTCATGTGTCCACCCGGGTCATGGGCACTCACGGTTACTGTGCACCCGAATATGCAGACAGTGGGAAACTTACGATGAAATCTGATATCTTCAGCTTCGGAGTTGTAATGTTGGAACTCATCACTGGACGCAGACCTGTCGATGATACCTGCACCGGTCCAAAACGGTTTCTTGTGAACTGGGTATGCTTCCGTTCTCGCTTTCTCTTTTTAGTTTTTGACTTCTAGTAGAAGATTGCTGATCAAATTTAGTCTCTGGAAATATATCCAACCTGTGTTTTTTATTCCTCCGACTCCGATTGATTTGACAGCAAAAGATCAAAGATTTTTATGTACCCGCCCAGGGAATTTAGTTCAGAGGATGTGAATCTGATTACTTGAAAAAGGAAATGCCAAATTTTTGTTTTGTTCTGTTCTTGTGGGTTTACAGGCAAGACCGTTGTTCAAGGAACAGAACATAACAGAGTTAGCAGATCCGGCGTTAGGAGGGAACTTCTCCGAGTCGACTCTGACAAAAGCACTGGAAGTGGCGTTCATGTGCTTGAGGCAAGAAGCGAACGCAAGGCCATCCATCAGAGAAGTAGTGGTTGCTCTAAACTACATTGTCTCACGCTCTCGCAAGGAGAAGGAAGTGACGAGCAGAGGAGTGGCAATGGCGGCGGCAGTGACAGAGACTGTGAGCTCTCCGAAAGAGACAACGAGGATGCTGGTGAACAATAACGATGATTTCGATCGAGAGAGAGCAGTTGCTGAGGCTAAGTCATGGGGAGAGACATGGAGAGAGATCCGGAGACAGAGTGCTCAGCCTCCAAGCCCTTGACTTTGATAGATAAAACCCAAAAGAAAGTTGTCACCTTTACGAACTCGAGAGTAGATTTCTCTGACATGGACAGATTTCCGTTATAACCCTTCTCGTATATCTTGACATTGCAGTCGCAGATTCAGATTTGACAGCATTGACTCCATTGATCCATTTTCTTGTCTTTGACCGTTTAAGACAGAAAATATAAGCGATGAACTGATTATGAAATCTAACAGATGCTTGAGAGAGAGGGGACTCTCTCTCTCTCTCTCTATCTATGGCTAATGGCTCCCCCATTTGTCGGAATCTGATTCTATATCTCACTTGTCTGAAGCATGTGGTTTAATAACATCACAGACACTTAAGCTCTGCATGTTGAGTAGGCTTGTACGGATCTCTTTGAACCCAGACCAATCGTTTTAGGTTCTTCGGTTCTTGAAATTCGATTTTAATTTCATTTAAATTGATATCTAAATGGTTCAAAATCCTAAACTTAGGATAAGTGTTTGACAAGAATTGAATGTTGGTCGTGAAGATGATGAAGTCCACGAGCTCCCACCAGAAAAAAAAAAAAAAGCTAAATGGAAAAAGATTAGGGAGAAATATAATATAATTAGGAAAAGTATATATCAATAAAACATGATTCTTTTCTATAATATGTAAAAAAAACATGTTTTCTAATTACTAATATACTCTCTCATTGTAATCATATGATACTGATTGTTAATTTTTTTTTAAAATTTTATCAGTAAAAGATAGATATTGGTTTATGTTTTCTCTAACTATAGATGATTAAGGGTAATTAATATATTTTCGATGACTTCCATATGGAACTTTCTCAATTACTATAAGTTCATGGTTATAATTAACAAATTCAATTGATTTATTTTTTAAAAAATATTCAACATTGGAATACACAGATTCCGAGGTCCTAATATTGTAATGTTTTCAAGGTGAGTCCATGATGCGCCTCAAGCATACCATATCTTGGCTGTCATCATTTTATTTCCACTTTTTTTCTCATGAAAATATAAATATTTAAATATGTCCACTTTTCTAGATATTATTTATTTATTTTATCTTACCAAACATAAGGGACCTAATGATATTCAATAAAATTTTATTATATATATATATATATATATTCTGTAAACATTATAACATACTACAACACAATTTTTTTCCTTTCAATGGGATTTATTGTTATGTTTGGAAAATAGTAATTATTTAATATAAATCCTAAATTATGTGCAAGAATTGACGAGCTGCACTGCATACTGCATAGGGACAGAAGGCTCACCCACTGATTACGGCCTCGGTTAGATGACAGACCAATAATGTAGCGCCACGTCATCTGATTTTACTCCGCTCCTCTCGCTGTCAAAGTGTTTAGACTAAAACGACGGTGACAGTGGCAGAAGTAGAGTTTTTCTTTAAAACGTTATTATATTTGCGAAGGGGGAAAGGAGGAGAAAAAAAAGTGGGGTGAGGACGGGAACCCACCATTGAAATTGGAGAAGGAAGAAAAAAAGGGAACCCTTTTTATTCGCTGGCTTCTCGTACCTTGTCGGCGAACTCGCCGGAATCTGAATCCCTTCGCCGGCGGCTAGCTATCGTTTTCGCTTATCTTGTCACTCTTTTCATTTTAGCTCTGTTTGCTTACTTCTGAGACCGATTTTGCTGCTCAACTTTGGCGGCGAAGTGAGAGAGAGGGGAAGGGTAGAGAGAGAAAGAGAGAGAGGGAGGGGGTGAGAGATGTATGTAGTTCCTCCACCTCAGCGATCCGATCCGGGGACCAACGGTGATTTGAGGGTTTACCAGGCATGGAAAGGAAACAATGTGAGTTTTTTTTTCCTTATTTTCTTATTTTTTTGGCTTGTTGTTCTCTGGGGTTGGTTCTTTGTTTCTTAGTCCTCTTGCATTCGTTTGTTCTCGAGCTCTAAGCTTGATCATCTTCCCTGTTCCTGGCATTGGTTGTCTCCTTCTTTGGCTCGTTTTGGCTCTCTTCCAATCCAATCAAAGCTCGAATTGGAACATGGGTCGTGTTAAAACTTCTGAAAACTCAACACTTTGAGCATATTTGTTGGTAAGCCGAGGCTTTTGTATTTATTGAGGGCGCCCTTGGTGCTAATGGACTCATAAGCTTTCAGATGCAAATGCTTTGAACGAGTTTCAGCCAGACCAAGAGCTTAAAATTATCTGAAAGTGCTTTACTTTTGGGAATTTGTACCATTCTTCTGTTGATGAGGGGATGCAGGATTTACTGAGGAGTTGTTAAGTTTCTTTGGATGTATGAAGGAGGTGTAAAATTGAGTCCATTAACCTGTTAGAAATGAATCGATATCCAGACTTGCGGTCACTTCGGATAGTTAAATTTTCCAAAGTTATAGACCTGTTAGACTAAGCCGCTTGAGTCGAATAAATTGACATGAAGATGAAATCTGTATGTGTAGTAATGTGGTTAAGGGCATGAGTCCTGTTTTGGAAAGAAATATGGCAGTGAGTGAGTAGTGAAACGAAGCAGTGTCCAGTCAAGGGCTTGTGGCATATCTTATCCAGGAAAGTTCATAATGGTCGTGTGAAATTTCCTTCTCTCCAAGTTTGGTGAAGTTTATGTTTTCCCTTTTCTGCAGATATTCTTTCTTCAGGGAAGGTTTATATTCGGACCAGACGTAAGATCATTGGGGCTTACCATACTTCTCATTGCAGTCCCTGTCACAATTTTCTGCGTCTTTGTCGCTCGGAAGCTAATGAACGACTTCTCAGATAGTTGGGGCGTATCGATAGTAGTTGTTGCTGTTGTGTTTACCATTTACGTAAGTGTGTTTTTCCTTTACTTTTCTGATGCTTTGTTCACCGTCGAACGTATAAAAAAGCATATATTTCTTTCTTTATTTTCTCTCCTCAGGATTTGATCCTTCTTCTGCTCACGTCCGGAAGAGATCCCGGGGTTATCCCGAGAAATGTCCATCCTCCAGAGCCTGAAAGCATTGATGGCAACACGGATACAGGGGCTGGCCAGACTCCTCAGTTGAGATTGCCTCGCATTAAGGAAGTAGAGGTTAATGGAGTCACGTTTAAGGTCAAGTACTGCGATACTTGCATGCTTTATAGGCCACCTCGTTGCTCACACTGCTCGATTTGCAACAACTGTGTGGAGAGGTTTGACCATCACTGCCCTTGGGTCGGCCAATGTATTGGTCTGGTAAGTCTTGTCCGTATCTTGAATTATCCATGTGATGATTTGAGCTTCTGGTTCTTAGTTCTCACTTTAGTGTTGTATCACCGTTCTGAAAAGAATCACAATAGATCACTAAACCCGTGTTATTCTTTCAAGAAGCTGTCTTGTCTGCAGTAGAGTCGTAATAATGTTTCAAATGGACATTTCGGGTATATAATGGCTTATGATTTGCTGTATTTCTCGTTCATACTAAGCTTAGATCGCTGAATATAACACAATGATAATGGCTTCCAGTTCAGTGGGGTGTCATACCGGCATCAATCCTGTTCTCTGTTGATAAGCTAAATTCTATAGTGTTGCATCTAACTAATGTTTTGTGAAATGTTCTGAATTGATGTTTTACATGGAGTGGATTATGATTGTTGTCTCGGCTCATGTACTTATTCCCAGCCTCAATCTGTCTAACCATCTTCGATTCCGAATGTTGCAGAGGAACTATCGATTCTTCTTCATGTTTGTCTTCTCAACGACCCTACTCTGTATATATGTGTTTGCTTTCTGCTGGGTCTATATCAGGAAGATCACGGTGTCGGAGCATACAAGCATTTGGAAGGCGATGCTAAAAACCCCTGCATCCATTGTTCTGATAATCTATACGTTCATATCAATGTGGTTTGTCGGGGGATTAACAGCCTTCCATTTGTATCTTATCAGCACAAACCAGGTTTAAATATCAGCCCTAATCTCTGTTTGTTAAAAAAACCCTTTAACCAAAAACTCATTATTGTTTTATACTCATCTTTCTTGCAGACAACGTACGAGAATTTCAGATATAGATATGACCAACGTACCAACCCACATAACAAAGGAGTGGCTGAAAACTTCAAGGAGATCTTCTGTTCACCGATCCCACCCTCGAAGAACAACTTCAGGGCTAAGGTTCAACGGGAAACTCCTCTACCTTCGAGACCTGTGGGTGGCGGTTTTATGAGTCCAAACATGGGAAAGGCAAATGATGACATCGAAATGGGAAGGAAAGCGGTGTGGGCAGACATGGGACCAGCAATGGGCGAACATGGAGATGGAAAACTCGGTAACAATGAGAGGTTACATGTGAAAGATGGCGAGCTGGGGGAGTTGTCCCCCGACATTAGGAACACAGTGACGGATGGACCATCTGACAGGACGGGGATTATGCATCCGAGGCGGTCAAGCTGGGGAAGGAACAGCAGAAGCTGGGACATGTCACCTGAAGTTACTGCCTTGGCGGCCAGAATTGGAGATCAGAATCAAGTCGGAGGCAGTGGCAGTGGCAGTGGCAGTGGCTTAGCCATGGAGAGCCGACCCGTGTAGTGGTCTGATGCTGGTTAACACGCAGGGACAAGAACTGAAAGACAGGATCTGGTCTGGCGAATACAGTTTAGAGAAAGTTGAGGGCTTGTTTCAATCTTGATGCTTTTTTTTTAAAAAATGTGGGAAAGA